TTTAAATGTCCAGGGCATTATGCGATTTAGGAAGGGTGACACATGTTTGAGTCAAGGTGAGAAGAACATCAGAGAAGTGACATTTTAAAGAAGTACAGTAAAAGCTCTTTTGGCTGTACTTCCATGGATCACAGGAGGGCAGTTTGTTCTGCTGTGACCCGTTTTCAGCTGGCTGAAGTTTGCTGTCAGCTGACGTCACTCAGCTGGTGCAGGCTGGGGAAAGATCCCTCTTCCTCCTGTGATTGAAGATAAATTTGATATAACCTTCCTAAGTTGTTAGGATGTCATGTGCATGTCATATGTCCACTTGCCACCTTATCCTGTTTTTCTTCCGTGACAACCCAATAATTCTTTTAAAAAAAAAAATTTGGATCCACCACAGAGTCTGGAGCGGCACCTGGCTCAGTCATTCAATGGCAATGCTTGGAGCCTGAGCCAGCCGGTCCCTCCCCCTCCCAGCACTCCAGTGACAGTCACCCCTCTCTGCTGAGAGTGGAGAGGAGAACCCAGCAAGCGGTGGTCATGTGATCACCAAGCTCTCACCCTTAGAGCCGATGGGGGACAGATGCAGCATTGGACCGTTGCTGCATCCACCTAGGTAAGTATAAATAAGGAAAAGAAAAAAGGCCTGCTTCTCTTCTCACTGATTCTCTGCTCCTAACTGGGACCCTGTGTAAATTGTGGTCTTTTCAGATGTGTGCTGCCAAAAGCTCTATACATAGAGCGAATAGTAATGGCGATAATGGGCAACCTTGTCTCCTGCGAGGTTTGAGAGGTAGCATATTGAGGTTTCAGCTGGATAGAGAGGCAGGCATAGAGGTGTTTAATAACTTGAAGGAAATGGCTCTTAAATTCAATATATTCAAGGGTGGAGATTTATTTATATGTGTATATATATATATATATAGTATTTATTCTTCATGGGTTTAATACAACTTGAAGCCAGAGAGTCAGTATAACAGGCAGGCAACTATCATTTTCAGAAACAGGTCAGTAATGGTGGCTTCTGTGATTTCATGCTTAACCACCAGGGGACCGCCCACAGTACAAATACTGCGGCAAGGTACACCAGTAATCACATTTAACCCCTTGATTGCCAAGAAGATGCTCATACACAATAAACCTCCATTGCTAGTATAATGTCTGAACGGATCAATATCTTTGATCAGATCAGCATTATACCAGCGTTCACATTATTATAGTGTCCCCAAAAATGCAGCATTAGCGGGATCAGCACCTGCGTTTAGCCCCTATGCATACCCCCCCCGCAAGTGCAGTATCATTAGGTCACTGTCACTTGATACACAAAACCACAGTGTTCGCAGAATCAGGCCTGATCTCTGTTAGCACTTGCCGGTAAATTTTGATGACACTCATATGCAGCAGAGTGCCAGTACTAGTGCCCTGCTACCTTTTGGTGAACTGGCGAGCACCAGCGGCCTAGTACATCCTGGCCTTTCACATACCTGCACTGCAGTATCACTTGGTGACATGGCGAATCCCGTAAGTGCAGTACAAGCTGGTGCAGTGGCGAGCACAAGTATTGTCCCGCAACCACCAAGAATTTGCACACAGAAGAGCCCCTAGTATCCTTCTCAATGTGCTTGCAAATCCCAATTGGCAGACCACAAATTCTGCAGCATCTGTACTCACCCCCCTCCCCCCCACCCCTATTCACTACCCAACCTGGAATTCAGGTGGAAACAGCAAATTTAACTACTCCCCTTGATTTTTTTGGAGCTGTTTTTCATGGAAGATTTGTATGCATCGATTGGGTTGGCGGTGATAAATTCTTGTGCATATAAATTAAATTGCTTTGATCCACAAATTCAAACCTTGCCAATCATTTGCTTGGAAACCCATTACCTAATTTAAATTTGTTTTGGGCCTAACCCTCAACATGGGCATTACTAAAAAATATGAATTGCGGTTGTATTGGTCCACAGATCCAATTCATCATATTCCGTGTTCTCTGCTGCCATGGCCAGGCATATATATGAGAGTATAATGTGTTTTATGCATTTCAACGACAATACTCTGTCAGCCCCGGGGGGACCCTGAATTTTCCGGCTGCACAAAATTCAGCCCCTCGTAAATCACCTTAACCAAAAATTTGCAGATGTCTATACTCCCCAGCAAAAAATCTGCGTTGAGTTCCTCCATTTTTCCGGCTGCCTTGCATTTAAACAATTTCTCCCCAGCAAGCATGCCAGATGTGGGGTCAAGCTGTAGAAATCCTGTGAGAGGACAACAGGCTGTACATATAGGTTTTGGATTTACGAGGGAAAAGATAGTCACGTGGAGCCCCCCGGATGCCCAGACTACATGGGGAGTAGTGGCAAGATAGTTTGGGACTTGGTGTCATCCTTTTTCAATATGGGGTACCGCTTATACGTGGACAATTTTTATTCAAGCGTGCCACTATTTAGACATTTGTACAATCTTGGAATTGGCGCATGTGGCACTGTGTGACCTAATGTGTGCCCACCATTAGAAGTGGTTGGATGCAGGGCCGTATATTCTAATAGTGGGCATACCACACACTTTAGCATAACATACATACCCAACAAGGACCAGCGATGTACTGGTATTTCACTGGTCTTTGAATGGTTATACTAGGATAACGCCTACAGCTGCAGGTATCATCCTGGTATAATTTTTTTCAGCCGGCGATTGGCTTTCATGTAAAAGCAATCCTAGTGGCTAATTTATTGAAAAAAAGGGGGTGCTGTTTCGCTTAGGAAAAAATTAGATGTATAAAAAAATACACTATATATATATATATATATATATATATATATATATATATATATAATAAAACCTATACGGCAGCAGTCCTGATTGTGAACTCCTATGATATTGGTATTCAGTCCCAACATTTTTAGTGCAATGGTGCTGTATCTTTAACGGTGAACCTCCATACTGAAGTGACAAGTGCTTCACTGTGTTCACACTGGTGCCCCACATAGATGTTAACTCACTGTCATCTCATGACCACCTATCTCCTGGGTAAGTCAAACGCCCTTTTGGGACTATCCCAGTATGCAATATGGTATTGATGGCCGATAATCCTTCACACTCTTAACTGTAGTTGCTGGTGGTAGCCGATAACCCACCACTAGGGCTGCATCAATATTAGAAAGCTCTCCTCCACAGTCAGTAATTCATATTTTCAGCATAAATTAAAACAAAACCTGACATCCCATAGTGTAAAACTGTATAGAACTTTAATAATGGGGTCAAACAATACAAATTCCACTCACAAAAAAAAGTGCCTTTCCTGGCACTGGGTGTATTCAGCCTTGTTAATTATGAATGGCAGATAAGATGGCCGCCGCGTTCCAAATACCGGAAGTGGCGTGAGCAGAATTTGCGCCATAAGCCCTTGACACGTTTCGACCAATAGATCGTCTTCAAGAAGTACCTTCCTCCAGAGGGCAAGTGGTTAGAGGATAAGTTCACCTTTCATAACAGAAGCGTTTTCCAATGCCATTTCTGGCCCAGCCATCTCAATGTGCTTTTCTCTCCCTTACCTCATCCACAGGGCATTTAAAATCTTTTTGTCAGTTTATTGGATTTTTAAAAATGATTTTCAGATTCCATCACTTCCTGTAGATCATCTATCAGCATTCAGGTCCTTTAGACCATTTCCCAGAAGCCTTCACTTCCTTGTTGCATCACAGAAGAGGGTGTGGCAGGGTGTGTTTACCACTCTGGACCAGACCCCCCTCATTACAATGCTACTTTCCACCCACTTTCTATACAATCTGAGGATTGTATTGAAAATGCAGACATATCAACGGAGTCTCATTGCTCTTGTGTAAGCAAACCAATTTCAATTTCAGGCCCCACTCACACTGAGACTAGAGGGAGCGCTTGTTTTTTGGCTCGTTTTTCCAGTGACACAAAAATGGCAGCCCGTTTATTTCAATGGGTTGCGCTACACATGGTAAAGTAGCTCATGGGACATAATGGTGTGATGTAGGTTGCATGTTTTTTCCACTTCGTTTTTCTGCATTTTCATGTGTCAAAATTAGCTTTTTTCTGTATTTGGTGTGGTGTTAATGGCCCCAAAAGTGCAACTAGATAATTTTAGCTGTATAAAGGTGGCCATACACTGTACAATCTCTGTATGATCTCCTTTATGCAAGGTGAAATTAAGATATATAGGCATCAATTTTTTTGTTTATCTAGTGAGAACGGTGATCACTGATTGCATTGGAAAACTGTGCACCTGTGGCAGTGACCTGCTGGAAGGGAGGAAGGCAGTGTGCTAGTGAGGTCAGCTGATGAAATCCTTCCTGTGTCTTACTTTTTTTTTCTGTCCTAAATCTACATACCGGCAAGGGATAAAGCTTTCTACGAAATACAGCAAGGGCTAAGGTAAGGCCTTTCTCTCAAAATCAAAGAGAGCTTTTATTTTTCAATATTCTATGCATGAAGGTAAAATACCTTCTATGTACAGCAGTGCCCCTAGCCCCCTCAATACTTACTTGAGCCTCATCGAGATTAGCGATGTGCAGGACAGCCTCGGCTGTCCTGGGTCTCTGTCTCTGCATTGGCTAAGACAGCCAGCGGGAGCCATTGGTTCCCGTTGCTGTCAATCACAGCCAGTCAGCCAGTGAGAAGAGAGAAGGCTCCGTGTGTGAATGGACACATGGGGCAGCGGGTGTCCCTATAGCAAGCTGAAAGGAGGAGCCAGGACAGCCTGCGGGGAACCCGAGAAGAGGAGGATGCAGGCTGCTCTGTGCAAAACCACGGCACACAGCAGGTAGGTATGGACATGTGTGCTATTTTACAAAGAAAAATAATTAACCTTTAGTATCACTGTAATGGCATATTGGTACATAGGGAGCTGGAATTTAAGGGGGACAAATGGTGAACTTGGTCTTTAAATCAGCTTCTTTACGTGTGCTTATAAACCATTGGTATTAAATTCCCACAATCCCTGACACACCGGCTATAATTTGAAATGTTCCTCTTTTTAGATGTTTAAGGTGATGGCTACAGAGACTCTCAATCCATTGGCACTGAATGCAGATATTCACAATGCGCTGCCTACTGAGAAAGTAGACGGTACATGCTGCTATGTTGCAAATCACAAAGGTAATACTATATGGATTCAGCTTTGTCCCTTATTCAACTATGTGCTATCCTGCAATGTTTTCTTGACTGAATGTGACATTGTCATTAAAAATGAAACATTCACCAGCCTCAAGAATGCTGGCTGATGTCTGGATGCAAGGGAATTATATGGGAGCTCTTTAACTCTTTGTACGTAGGATAGACTTTTAGGACTAGATTTTTAGTGTTGGTAATAGCAATCTGTATGAGACAATATAGTATGTTATGTGCATTTTACAATGACTTTTTTATGGTCGGTAGTTGTTTAAATAGCACATTTTGCAGGTTTTATGTAGTTTAATAGCATATGCATTTGCGACCTTTGTTTTCAGTGGTCTTGCTATATAAAAGTCCTGAAGTGCAGATTTTTATTACTTAGGGCAGCTCTGACACTAGGGACTTTGAATACGACTTGGGATGCCATCATTTACTTGAAGCGATTGTAAACCTCTTTAAAGAAAAAAAAAAAAATCCCCTTGTAATGCAATAGCATAATGTGGTATTATGCTTCACATCCTAGCACATTATGAAATGCTTACCTTGGAAGGAAGCCCTCCAGCAATGGAAGCCTGGTCCACGATGACAGTGCTCTGAAGGGACGGCACAGGTATGCTCCCTTCAATGATGTCACCGGCTGCAACCAGTGTGAATATCTTCTAAACGATGCAAGTTTAGGAAATATTTACTGTACCTACAGGTAAGCCTTACTATAGGCTTACCTGTTGGTACAACAACGTTAAAAGCCGAGTTTACTACCGCTTTAAAGCAGAACTTTACTGTATTTGAGCAGCACAAACAGAAAACACTATTTAATTAGTTTTTAATTTTTAAAGTAAACTCCTCCATCCATCTATGTCTCCATGCTTTATTTGGTTGAGGAATCATTTTAAAAATGCCCCCCTAGCATTTCTAACCTTGGCTATCTTGCGTAAGGGCGGATCATTCATGTAGCATTTACTTCCTGGAATCTGTATGCCCTTATTGTGATGACACCCTAGAAAATCTTTAACATGCGCAGTATAATATACAGTGCATAGGAGATGCCAGTACACTTTGGCAAGGTATGTCATGCGGGCAGGAGGGTGTGCTTAGTGGAGAACACCCCCCCCCCCCCATCACTTCCCCCCACCCCACCGTCACCAAGATGAAATTTTAAAAAAAAAAAAAAAAATACCCGTGAAGACGTCTGGTATGTATGACAATTTTGGCCTAGTCCAGAAACAGAAGAAATGTTTAAAAAAAAAAAAAAAAAAAAAAAAAAAAAAAAAATTTTTAAATAAGTGAATATAATATACAGTGAAGGAAATAAATATTTGATCCCCTGCTGATTTTGAATGTTTGCCCGCTCACAAAAGAAATGATCAGTCTAAACATCGAATGGTAGGTGTATTGTAACACTGAGAGACAGAATAGCAACAAAAAATTCAAATGAAATGTATGTCTAACAAATTATGCACTATTTGCATGTTCATGAGGGAAATAAGTATTTGATCCCCTATCATTCAGCAGCATTTCTGGCTATCAGGTGTCTTATCATACAGGTAACAAGCTGAGATTAGAGGCAGTCTCTTAAAGGGAGTGTTGCTAATCTCATTTTGTTACCTGTATAAAAGACACCTGTCCACAGGAGCAATCAAGCAATCAGATTCCATACTCTCCACCATGGCAAAGACCAAAGAGCTGTCCAAGGAAGTCAGGGACAAGATTGCAGACCTACACGAAGCTGGACTGGGCTACCAAACTACCGCCAAGCAGCTTGGTGAGAAGGTGACAACAATTGGTGCAATCATTTGCAAATGGAAAAAAACAAACAACTGTCAGTCTCCCTAGGTCCGGTGCACCATGCAATATCTCACCTCGTGAAGTGTCGATGATCATGAGAACAGTGAGGAATCATCCCAGAAATACACTTGAGGATCTTGTCAGCTGGGACCACAGTCACCAAGATAACATTTGGTAACACACTACGCCGGCAAGGATTGAAATCCTGCAGTGCCCACAAGGTTCCTCTGCTCAAGAAAGCACATGTCCAGGCCCGTCTGAAGTTTGCCACTGAACATCTGAATGATGCAGAGGAGGACTGGTTGAAAGTGTTGTGGTCAGATGAGATCAAAATTGAGCTCTTTTGCATCAACTCAACTTGCCGTGTTTGGAGGAGGAGGAATGCTGCCTATGACCCCAAGAACTCCATCCCAACTGTCAAACATGGTGGCGGAAGCATTCTGATTTGGGGGTTTTTCTGCTAAGGGGACAGGACAACTGCACTGCATCAGATGGACAGGGCAATGTACCATCAAATCTTGGGTGAGAACCTTCTTGCCTCAGCCAGGGCCTTGAAAATGGGTAGTGGATGGGTGTTCCAGCATGACAATGACCCAAAACACACGGCCAAGGCAACAAAGGAATGGCTCAAGAAGAAGCGCATTAAGGTCCTGGAGTGGCCTAGCCAGTCTCCAGACCTTAATCCGATGGAAAATCTGTGGAGGGAGCTGAAAGTTCAAGTTGCCAAACGTCAGCCACCAAACCTTAATGACTTGGAGAGGATCTGCCAAGAGGAGTGGGCCAAAATCCCTCCTCAGATGTGTGCAAACCTGGTGGCCAACCACAGGAAACATCTGACCTCTGTGATTGCCAACAAGGGATTTGCCACCAAGTACTAAGTCATGTTTTGTGAAGGGGATCAAATACTTATTTCCCTCATGAACATGCAAATCAGTGCATCATTTGTTAGACATGCATTTCTTTTGAATTTTTTTGGTGCTATTCTCTCTCTGTGTTACAATACACCTACCATTCGATTTTTAGACTGATCATTTCTTTGTGAGTGGGCAAACATTCAAAATCAGCAGGGGATCAAACACTTATTTCCTTCACTGTACCTCCCTATCTATTTTTCTAAGGCTAGCAGAATAAGGATTAAAAATAGGTAAAGTGATTGTAAACCATCACCTATTAAAACAACCCATTCCGTTTAAAATAGAAATGAAAGGCAAACAATTTGTGTATACATATGACAAATTATAATTTTTTTTTTCCCCCTTTCAATAAACTATCACATTCCCTCTGTTCTCAGCTGCATTATAGCTGGGGGAGGAGAATCCGCATGACAGTGATCTTCCTAGTGAAGTCTAATCATTGGAGGAGAGCAGGCTGAGTTTCCAGCACAGCTAGAGAACTGGCCACACTGTGCTGTCCATGCCTAGTGTGGTCAGTTTGTAATAGGAAAGCAGGGGGACTGACAGAACACCAGAGATTCACACAAAGGAAGCAATACAAAGCGAATAGGATACTTTTTCATACAAGTACATGGTACAGTAGGCAGATATCAGGAATATGAAATGTTGGGTTTACATACTCTTTTTAATATTTATTATGAGAGTAAAGTTCTGCTTAAGCCCTGGTTCACACTGCTGTGACTTCAAGTGTGACATGTGATTTACAAATCACATCTGAAGTAGCATATAATGTATTTCTATGGCACTACCTTAATAGATGCGATTTGAAATACTGTAGCGCGATTTCAAAAATAGTACCTGCACTATATTTTCTGATTTCACTGACTTGCATTGACTTCTGTTTATAGTCGCTAGCCGCAGTTAAATTGGAGGTACAAATTGCACTGATCTGCGGCTTTGAAATTGTGCTACTTCACTTGAAATAGGTTGATTTCAAAGTTTGTGCTCAGTATCAACCAGGGCTTAATTAGAAAGTATATTTATTTTAACCACTTCCCAACCACACTATAGCCGAAAAAAGATGGCTACAACGCAGTTGTCTAGTTTTAGGAGGGTGTCCATAGATGTCGCCAGTGATCACTGTGTCCTACGGATACATGATCACGTGATACAGTAAAAGGCCAATCACAGCTGCCTTTTACCACATGATCAGCTGTGTCCAATGACAGAGCAGATCACCGGGTAAATCCAGTTGCCAGTTCTTGGCTGCACTTTCCTCACGCTGTCACAGCATGAGGAAAGTACTGCCGAGAACCGGCAATTGTCAGAAAAGGGATGATCAGTGTCCAGAAGTGCCACCCAGTTGTTCCCGTCAGTGCCACCTATCAGTGCAGCATCGTCATTGTCAGCTCATCAGTGCTGCCTATCAGTGCAGCCTCATCAACGCACATCAGTGAAGGAGAAAAATTACCTGTTTGCAAAATTTTATAATAGAAAGAAATAATTTTTTTTTTTTTTTTTTTTTAGTGTTTATAGTGCAAAAAAATAAAACACCCAGCGGCGATTAAATACCACCAAAAGAAAGCTCTATTTATGTGAACATATAACATTTTATATGGGTACAGTGTTGCATGACTGCACAATTATTCAAAGTGCGACAGCGCTGATATCTGAAAATTGGCCTGGACAGGATAGGGGGGTGGGGAGTGCCCGGTAGGCAAGTGGTTAATACTTGTCTTTTTTTCTCTTGCAGGTTGCCCATATTTGTGGGCACGTTTTGATAGGAAACCAACAAAGCAAACTGATAAGAAATTTAAAAAGCACATTCGTTCAAAAGGAAGCCCCAAAGGTATTTATTACTGTTATTAAATTCTACACACCATCACCCAATGTGTTTACTATTTCATTAAAGTGATTGTAAAGGTTCAGATTTTTTTTTTTTTTTTTTAAATAAACAAACATGTCACACTTGCCTGCTCTGTGCAATGGTTTTTCACAGAGCATCCCCGACCCTCCTCTTCTTGGTTTCCCTGCCGGTACTACAGGCCCCCAACCCTCCCCCCAGTTCCCTCCTCACTAGCTGTGATTGACATTATGAAAATTCTAGTTGCCTGGCTAATTGTTTTACTTTTAAAATCAAAACACTGACCCAAGTAAGCATAACAGAATCTCAGATCTGAAGTTCTGATGCCAGTGGGTCAACATGACAGCCAGGCAACAAGCTTTGACATCAGTACTGTAAAGCTATATGTGACCAATAGGCAAAATCCCTTTTAATTACTGCAAGACAATAATCTCCAAGTAAGAAAATGAAACATTTGTTAGAAAATCATGCAGTTTATTATATGGATGTTTCAAATTACATACAAATAAAGTAGTCAGTCAGTTTAAATGAGAAATTATTGCATGAGAATGCCTTTTGAAAGTTTTAAGTTTTGTGATGGACATTTTTAGACTTCATTTGGAATGTTGATGAGGACTTCAGACCTGTTCCTGATTTCTGGATTCCAGCAAAAGGTGTGAGAACGGTGGATGGAAAGGCATACCCTGATGAAAATGGTCATATACCAGGTACCTCTGGGAGTACAAGTCCCCTAAATCTAACTTTTTTATTTAAACATGAATTCAAGGCTTTAACTATCGACTCTGAAATGTATGTTGTAAACTGTTGGCGCTATATAAATCCTGTATAATAAAGCATCTTTCTTTTACAGGGTGGTTAATAGAGGGGGAGCAGATTTAAGATTAGATATAGCCTGAAATTCCACTTTAAAGTGCACTGGACATTAACCCCTTGCCCTCCAGAGGAATCCCCCCCCCCCCCCCCCCCTCCCCTTCCTGATCAGGCCATTTTTCTGTGTTACGGCATTACTTTAACTGTCAATTGCGCGGTCATGCAACACTGCACCCACATTAAATTTGCATCCTTTTTTTTTCCCCCCACAAATAGAGCTTTCTTTTGGTGGTATTTGATCGCCTGTGCATTTATTTTTTGCGCTATAAACAAAGACTGACAATTTTGAGAATAAAATAATATTTTTGACTTTTTGCTGTAAAACATATCCAGTAAAGAAATTTTAAAACCTCAAATGTCATAAATTTAGGTCAAAATGTATTTGCTAAAAAATAAAAAAAAATCCTAATATGTATAAATTAATTGGTTTACGTGAAAGTTTTTTTTTATAGCGGTATACATACTGGAATTCTTTTTTTTTTTTTTTTTTTTTTTTTTTTTTTTTTTTTTTTTTTTCTTTCACTAGTAATGATCAGCGACTTATAGCGGGACTGCGGCGGGCATTCTGACACTGGGGGGGGAGACTGACTGTCACTGACATCCCCAGTGACACTAATACAGTGATCAGTGCTTGCTAATAGCACTGACATGGTAGTAATGACACTGGGCAGGCAGGGGTTAACATCTGGGGCGATAAAAGGGTTACCTGTGTGATGTGTGGTGTTTTTTTTTTTTTTTTTTTTCTGTGTAAGCATGCTACTTTGTATTGCTCTGCTATGCAGAGCAATACAACGCAGCGTGCTGGAGCTGATGGGAGAGCTTTGTATTGTTTACGTACCAACCTCTCCCCCATCAGTGATACTCGGCGATCGCCGTGTGCTCGCAGGAAATCACCAGCTGGGACCCAGTGACTGACAGCTGAAGCTGCCAATGGTTGCAAGAGTAGGGCATGTGCGTGCCCCCTACCCGGAAATACAAAATCAAGTATAAAAATTTTTCGTTTTAACAAACAATAAAAGTATTTGACAAATTAGAAAACAAAATTCATGCACTCGGCCACCACAACCACTGAATGTCGGAAAAATAGTGAGTACCTGGGCTCAGCCCACCAAAAGAATATGAGTAATACGGGACTGCTGCAACTAAAAAATCCTGAAATACAGCAACTAAATAATCATAAAAGTGCACTGTCCCTTTAAAATTATGCGAAGCATATATAAATCACCAAACATAAATAGCAGTGATGATGTGAAAATTCATATTATCGCTCCTATTTGTGTTTGGTGATTTGTATATGCTTCACATAATTTTAACCGCTTCCCGACCGCCAGCCTGCAATGCACTGTTGAGCTGCAGGCAAAAGCGATGTACCCGTACATCATTTTCCTCTTCAGGGTTAAGAGCGCACATGCGTGCGCCCCCGCTGTCATTTGTTCTAGAAGGTCTATGTCAGTGATTTTGGCAGAGACCTACAGTGAATGGAGATGCAGAGCTGTGCCTGTGTTTGTAAATACAGGCACAGGATCTAGCTGGTTCTTCCCTCCCTGGAACCATTTTGTTCCAGAGAGAGAGAGACATCACACGTGAGCAAAAGCACCACACTGCACCCACACATGTTAGTTAGACATTTTACCCCTTGATTGCCACATTTAACCCTTGGCCCCCTGCCTGTGCCATTAGTACAGTGTCATTGTACAGTATTTTTTCACTGTATTAGTGCCACTAGCGGTGTCAGGGTCAGTTAGTGTCTCTCCCAGCTAGGGTTGGCTAGCGTTCAATTGCCCACACATTCTCGCACTATAGGTCGCTGATCACCGTCATTACTAGTATAGTGTTTGTACAGATCAATATATTGATCATGAACAAACTATACCAGTGCCCCCTTAGTATCCATGTCCCCAAAAATGCAGTGTTAGCAGGATCATCCTCGTTCGCTACCAGCACTAGTGTTTAGCCCCAACGCTCCCCCCCACCCCTAACAAGAAGTGCAGTGTCAGTATAATTTCTGATCACTGTTACCTGTAATACATTGCACACACCCGCAGTGTTCACAAAATCAGGCCTGATCTCTCTTAGCGATTGCCGTTTTTTTTTTTTTTGTAGCGGTTAAAGCAATCCCTGACAGCCAAGTGCTATTTTTCCCCGTGAGTGGTACTAGGTACCTGTAAATTTTAGAGTCGAAAGGTACACTAGTGAAGAGGCCTACAGGATTCTGAGCATGTCAGATGACAGCAAAGGGGAAGACTCCCTGACAGAATCAGCCTCATAATACGAAAACTGTAGACAGCAGCAGCACCTTGACAGGTAGCTCGGATGATGATGGAATAGAGGTCCCTGTTAAGATCAGGCGTACCCGACCCCATGAAGTGCTAGGATCGCATGACTTGTCTCATATGCAGCAGTGCCGCACTACCTTTTGGTGAATTGGCGAGAACAGCGATCCAATGTATAATGGTCTTTTTTTATACATGCATTAAAGTATCAATTGGTGACGTGGCGAGTCCCATAAGTGCAGTACAAGCTGGTGCGGTGGTGAGCACAAGTATTGTCCCGCAGCCATAAGAATTTGCACACAGGCCCGTAGAGCCCCTTGTGTCCTTCTGGATGTGCTTGCAAAATACTGATTGGCAACCCACAGATTCTGCAGCACCCATACTTCCCCCATTCACTGCCCAACCCAGAATTCAGGTGGAAACAGCAAATTTAACTCCCCTTGATTTTGTGGAAATGGTTTTTCACAGAAGATTTGTACAATTTGATTGTGTGCCAAAGCAATATATATGCTCAGCAATATATCGTCTCAAACCTTGCCAGACCATTCACATGGAAACCCATTATGGTTTTCGAATTTAAAACTTTTTTTGGGCCTAACCCTCAACATGGGCATTACAAAAAAGAATGAGTTGTGGGCGTATTGGTCCACAGACCCGATTCATCTCTATGCCTCTAAGCATATTCTCTGCTGCCATGACCAGGCATAAATATGAGACGATAATGCGCTTCATGCATTTCAGTGATAACACACTCTGTTATCCTCGGGGTGACACTGAACATGACAGGCTCTACAAAAAGTCGGCCCCTCATAAACCACCTCACTGAGATATTTGCAGATGTGTACACGCCCCAGCAAAACATCTGTGTGGTTAAGTCCCTCATTCAGTTTACTGGCCAACTTTCATTCAAACAGTACATCCCCAGCAAGCGTACCAGATATGGGGTCAAATTGTATAAGCTCTGTGAGAGGGCCACAGGCTATACCTACAAATGTAGGGTTTGAGGGAAAAGACAGCGAAGTAGAGCCCCCTGACTGCCCAGACTATATGGAGAGCAGTGGCAAGATAGTTTGGGACTTGGTGTTGTGTTTGTTCCGTAAGGGGTATCACTTATACGTGGACAATTTGTATACTAGCGTGCCACTATTTAGACGTGTACAATCTTGGAATTGGCTCATGTGACCTAATCACCGAGGCTTACCCCAACGGGTTGTAAATACCCAACTTAGGGGGGAGAGAGCCTGCTTGAGGAATGATGACTTGCTCTCAGTGAAGTGGAAGGACAAACTGGATGTTTTCATCCTGTCTTCCATTCATGCTATAGTCCAAATTAACACGATATCTGGTGTTGTTGAGAAACCCCACAACTATAACCTAAACATGGGAAGGGTGGACTTCAGCTACCAAATGATGAAGCCGTACCTAGTTTCCCAGAAAGCTTGACACTGGTACAAAAAGGTGTCTATTTATTTCAAATGGCTATATTGAATGCTTCTGTAATTTACAAAGCAACTGGACAAAGTGGATCCTTCCTAAAATTCCAGGAAGAGATCATCATGGCCCTTTTTGTATCCAGAAGGTGCTGTGGCCCAGTCCTCAAATCCAGGTGAAGTTAGCCGGCTGTATGAGAGGCATTTTTTAGATGTCCTCTCTGGTACCCCAACCAAAAGGTCACCCCAAAGAAGACGCAATGCCCGCTTTTTTTTTTTTGTCCCTCCTGTCCTGACCAACTTGGTCTCTGCCTAAAGGACTGCTTCCGTCGCTACCATACACTAGTGGAGTATTAATATAGGATACAGCATGGCACAGTTCAGGGCACATATTTACACAGGGTCTCGAAAGAGGTTTGGTAGTCAGGAAACTGCCTATCGCATTTTGAGACCCTACAAGTTGTTTTAAAAAGTTAGTTTATTAAAAAAAAAAAAATTTTAAAAAAACAAAAATAGTTTTTTTTTGTTGTTGTTCCTGTTCTACTGTTACAATTTTATTGTTAACCATTGCTGTTTTCGTTTCAGGAATGTCATTCAGCTGCAGCACCGACTTGTTTATTCTGACAGCAACATGGTCTTGTTCTTAGAATATAATTAAGTAGGTGTGTGCAGTGCTGTTGGATGATATTTTTCATCCGCAGTTAAAAAAAGAGCATATATGCCAAAGCATGGGGTCCTGGGGTGGACAGTGGGTGGATGGCCCCTATGCTTCGGCATATTAATTTTACAATATTTTTTGGCACATTTCATGTGTGCCTACCATTAGAAGTGGGTGGATGCAGGGTGTTGTATTCTAATGGTGGGCATACCACACATTTTTTTTCATCAACCTGGTATCATTTTTTTCAGCCAGCGATGTTTGCCTGCAGCTCTCTTGTAAAAGCCAATCCTAGTGTGGCTAATATTAGCTGCTGGATTTATTTTACAAGCAGCGTGAGAAGATACCCCCCTTCCGCTGCCTTCCACGGCCTTCTCTGCTAGTCCCGTGCCATCGGGCGAACCTGAGAATGCAGCCGGTGTTTCTGCCAGCTGACCCATAGAGCTGATTGGAGACCAGAATGGTGCCAATCATCTCTATAGTCTAAGAAATTGGAAGCTACAAGCATTTCATCACTTCAGTTTCACAGGATATAAATGGTGCTATTTGTAAATTGGGAAAGCATCTGATCACACCGATCTTGGTACCTTCAGGCTTTTAAAGGGCTTTATTTCCTCCTTACACTTCCTGACTACCTATCGCTGAAATGACCCTTTTTTGGAAAGTAGACACTCCAAGGAATTTAATAAGAAGCATGGTGAGTATTTTGCAGATCTCATTTGTTGCCACAAGTTTTTGGAAAATTAAGAAAGAAAACAAAAACATTTTTTCTTTTCTTTTTTTATATTTCAAAACCTTGTGAGAACAAATGAGAGCTGCAAAATACTCACCATGCCTCTTTTTTAATTCCTTGGGGTGTGTACTTTCCAAAAAGGGGTCATGGGGGGGGGTTATGGGTTGGTGCTATCCTGGCATTTCAGGGCCTCCGAAACTGTGATAGATAGGAAGTTACACACCTTCAGGCTTTCAAAGTGGTCATTGGATTTCAGGCTTCTGTATGTGACTAGGCTCCCAAAAGGTCTCACATGTGGTATCCCCATACTCAGTAGAAGTAGCAGGATGTATTTTGGGGTGTAATTCCACATATACCCATGGCTTGTGTGAGCAATATATCATTTAAGTGACAAGTTTGTGTATAAAAAAAAAAAAAAAAAAAATTGTCATTTGGACAGTCTTGGGGTGCAACCTGGCGGGGTCGGATGGACCAAAACATGATATCCCAGAGGTGTTCTATTGGATTTAGGTCAGGCAAGCGCGTGGGGGCCGTTCAATGGTATCAATTCATCCTCCAGGAACTGCCTGCATACTCTCGCGCCACATGAGGCCGGGCATTGTCATGCACCAGGAGGAACCCAGGACCCACTGCACCAGCGTAGGGTCTAACAATGGCTCCAAGGATTTAATCCCGTTACCTAATGGCAGTCAGGGTGCCATAGTCTAGCCTGTAGAGGTCTGTGCGTCCCTCATGAATATGCCTCCCCAGACCATCACAAGGTGTGTGTGTATATATATTCTATAAACAGACTAGCCATAAACTACCTTTCTGATGACATGACTGGCGGTCCCCCCCTTCTGCCTTTTCAGTTCCTCATGTCCATGCTCCTGTGTGGGGGAGGCAATTCTGAGGAAAAGCAGCCGACAGGGCTTTCAGAAATGCCCTGTTCAATGCCGCTCTTCTCATTTCAACACAGAGCTGGGTCTGCCTAAAACAGCCTTCGCAGCAGAAAACATGGGCAGCAGTGGCCATGGTTGGGGTATCAGGTGAAACATATGGGACATGTGCTCGAGTATCCATCTCCAAGAACACCTATGAAAATAAGCTATAAAAGCCCAATCTATTTCAAATTGATTATAAATTGTACTGTTTGTTTTGTTTTTGTTTTTTTTTTGGTAGGTTGGGTGCCTGTGGAGAATGGCAATAAGCAATACTGTTGGCATTCAAGTGCTGTAAATTATACATTAAGTGTTGCTTTAGTACTAAAGCCACGATTGGAAGATCCAGAAGCTTTGGAGATCTGTCTTGTTCACTTGACGGATCTCCTTGAACAAACTCTTGAACTTCTAGGAACCAATATAAATGGAAACCCATATGGCAAGTATTTTCTTTAAAAAGGCTTATTTGTAGTTTTAAATCTTTTAGTGATGTTTACATAAAGCATAAAAAGTGAAAATAACTTTCAAGGCAAAGCTTACCTGATCTTTGTTCCGATGCAGAGCCAAATTTGCTTGCAGAGCAAGTATAATTTGTTACTTATGAAACCCTGGCTCTCATGAATTACTCTCATAGTTTATATGGAGAGCAAGTGCAGCTATTTTTTCTGGTCCCTAGAGAGGACAGTCAACAACCAATATACTGCAATTTTTTGCACAGAATGAAATTACAATTAGGATCTGAATATAATTTATATAATGTCCCTCTTTAGGTAGGTGAGTGTCCCATCTGCCTTCTGGACCTTTTTAAAATAGGTGTGTTTGGTGTCTCTGACTGGCATCTTCCCATAAATCAATTTAACAACCTTTTTGTAAATTACCGTAATTAGCTATGGCGGTAAAAAAGAAACCGATTATGATAGGGCTGCATTTAGGAGCCTATTGAGGACTTCATTAATGATGGTTTATGACACTGCTGCATTCCTTCTTAGTGGGTCTGCCTACCACAGACATGAGAATTTGATCTTTGTTTCTGTTACCGACTTACCGACCGTGCAGTTTGGGGACAGTGAAGGTGGTACTCCATTCTCTCTACACAGTTTTGGGTTCATTAGACCTCACTGTCACAACCTGTTCTCGCCATCGTGTTAGGAAAATGTTTTCATAATGTAGTAGTCTCTTTCTCCCCCCCCCCCCCCCCCCTTACACATTGTAAATTATAATCAATAGACTCATACTTTAGGCATAGTCCCCATGAGACGGGCTAATTTATTTTTTTGTATGGGTAGTACATCGATTATAAATGCTTTTAAATTGTTGTCCTGAGTTTTGCTATTGAAATCAGTAGAATTGAAACTTTTATAAACATAATTTGGTCCAGATGAAAGATCATGTCAATTTGTATTGCCATGTCTGTTGCTAAGACCTTATATCTGCTTAGTGGGCCTTAACGTGTCTGGAAGAAAACCTTATTAAACACACTACCAGTTTATCCTTAAATAAACAATCTATTGGGATAACCAGAACAATTTTGTTCGACAGGTATGGCTTTGCTATCATTTTTAAAGTGAGCATGGCAATATGAAGCTAAATATACTCCTTTAGCATGACATGAAAGTTGCTGTGACTTTGCTGCATGACTTCCCATTGACCTAGGTGCGATTTTACTGATAAAAGCATTCCTATGCGAAATTGGTGGATCAGTGTTTTTTTTACTTTTACCTTCTCCCTGGTCATTGCTTGCTGCCTAACATTTTCTCCCAAGCACATTGCATTCACATGGATTCCATGATGCCTAGGACTTAAGGCTTATTGTCGAAATGGTAAGCCAATTTTATATGGACATTTTTACTCGCTCAAGAAAGTTTATTATTTGGGAAGACGAGTGCTGGCTATACCAATGCTCATCATTTAGTTGTATCTGTGCTGGGAAGACTCACACACAGCCAGAGCACCGACATTCCATCATCGTGGGGATTATCTCTGGACATAGCACCTACCTGTTCACATTCCATTCACGCTTGAGCATAGCAGAAACACGTGGTTTTTTTTTTGCCTCAGAAGTCGCAACAATTAGGATAAATGTATGACTTGATGATTTTACATTGAAGTTTAAGGGGGTCATGCCACACAAGAATGCAAATTGTGTTTTTTTTTCTTTTCTTTTTTTTGCAGTGATTCAAGACATGGCAATTAAGACCGCACCCATTAAAATCTGTTTACACTCGACCTGTGATTTTCCATGTTGCAGATCCCTAGAAAGTTGTGCTAGTGTGAACCAGGGCTTAAAACGGTTACCAAATCTAACAATATAAACCTAATTCATCACTTATAGCAGTCAACAAAAGCTTAGGGGTTGATTTACTAAAAGTGGAGAGTAGCCAATCAGCTTCTAACTTCAGCCTGTTCAGTTAAGATGTTAAAAAAAAAAAACTGGAAGCTGATTGGTTTCTATTATGAGCTGCACCAGATTTTGCACAGTTTTAGTAAATCAACCCCTTAATGTTTCCCCTTATAGCAAGCACCAAAAGGTACAGTACCTGTAAGTACAGTGACAGCAATGTGTATTTTGCATTCCCAAAGAGCCTGTACATAAGTGGACATTAGTTATTTTATTTTTATAACCTGCCCAAGTTGGCACTCTGTCCCTGTTTGCATCTCACATTGCAGTGCTGCCAGCCCAGCATCCAACCGGAATGTGCTTGCAATGTGAAGGTCAAGCCATGGATAATATACAGAGTAGACATAGATTTGTTTGTTACCCAGTTACAGTAAATGCAAAGGTATATGGTATCTGTACTCGGGGGTTAAAGTGTTACTAAACCCACAACAGTAACATCTGTTTGTATATGCAGTAAAGCATGCTTGGTATACTCTGGAACCTAAGGGGTCAACCCCCTCTGCATTGTGTACAAAAAAAAAAAAACTGTTTTGATCTTGCTTTCTCTGATCCTCCCCTTCTTTTGATGTCCCCAACTCATCTGCCATAGTTAGATCAGCAGTGGCAAGTCTTCACATGCTCTGTTTTGTGTGTATTGCTAGAGAGTCGTTTTTGTTTGTCTTTTTTTTTTGGGGGGGGGGGGGGGGGGTTGCATGTGATCAGCACAGGGCCATTCAGTGCTGTCCAGACAAGAGGGTCAGGGGTTATGAAGCCTCCTAGGACAGTCAGAGGAGAATGAAAACTCCTACAAGATTAACCAGTGCTCGGCTGGACACTAACAGAAGTCACAAGACTGCTGTATACTGCTGCTTAGAAGTTATTTAGCAGTTTATATTTATTAAAATTGCATTTCCATGTTGTGTGTACTGTGGAAGACTTGATACAGTGAATCCTGGGTTTAGTAACACTTTAAGTTAACTTTGTGTTGTTTTTATTATACAGAATTTATATAGCACCAACAGTTTACGCAGCACTTTATATGTGGAGATTTACATCAAGCTCCCATATAAAGTCTAGTTTTCCACCACTGTATTTTACAGCACACTGAAACTTGAGCAGCTAGATAGGTAAAAGGCATGTAGAATTGATATTTATTTTCCTGTTCATGAAATCTGGCTTAGAAAAATGACTTCATATTTGCTTCCTGTATAATCCAAACTATTTTTGCAGGACATTCATATGTACTACGGTAGTGCCATATGGTTGAAGTACAAAATGCTTTTCACATACAAATGGTAATTTATGATGACTTTTATATATCATTCTTTCAGGTATTGGCAATAAGAAGAATCCAATTCATTTTCTTGTCCCTCATGGCACATTTCTCATTAAGAATATTCCAGCCTTGAATCATAATAGTCTCATATCCTGGTTTAATCATTGTCAGGAGGGAAAAGTTGAAGGAATTGTATGGCACTGCAAAGATGGATCTTTAATAAAGGTACATATAGTGAATTATTGAGAAATGCACTTGATGATACTGCGAGTTTTAGTAAGTGTATTCCTTCTTGAACTAATATTACACTGTGGTCTAGGATTTCCAAACTTTGAGCCCTGCTGTGTTTGATCATTATTAGAGAGGAGTAGCTGGTGGCTAAAGTGTGATCCTAAGTGTTGACTGAATAGAACAGACTGGCAATTGATCAGTGACTGTTTTATGTAAATATGATGGCATCAGCTTAAATGGATACTAAACAGGTTGCTTTATGTAAAAGATCAGAGTTCAGCATATTTTAAAACGCAAGTGACATAAACAAGGAAACATGACTGTCATTGGATATAATAACTTTAATACTCAGAACATGTGTGCATTGGCATGTATGTTTACGAACTACATAAAATGTGTCGATTTTTTTTTTTTTATCTCCCTTCAGTTCAGCTTTAGGTTTATACAAGCTCATTTCTGTGCTATGCATGCTTTCATCTACTCTTCTGTCATTTTTGCCACACAGCACCATCACGTAGATCCAGTGACTGAAACGGGTCCACTTGAATAAATTGTGCTTGTAGGCCATAACTGCAAACATTGTATGCAGTGCAGATTGACAGTTCTCCTTAGCAGTGAATATAATAACATTTTGGCTTCTGATTTGTCTGTGTTTGGAGGGAACCTGTACTAAGAGAAATACCTGAATATGTCATTACTGAACCCTCGCGCCCCCCCCCCCCTCCCCCATTCTGAAAAGGTTTTTTGTACTCGCTGTAAAATCCTTTTCTGGGAGGCCTTAGGGGGACAACACAGGAATCATGTACTGTCAGGTTATAATGCCAACTACAGGAGGATTAGACTCTACCAATCAAAGCAAAAAACAACCAAGAGAATGATCAAAAAAGAGGGGGGGGACTTGTGTTAATCAACTGACTCAAAGAAAAGGATTTTACAATGAATGCATCCTATTTTCATTCTCACCCATTGAGGGACACAGAAATTCAGAGACTGGTAGAAAGGTCAAAAAGTCAACTAAGATAGTCAACCGCAAAAATACACCTAAAGGGCTAGTGGTTTCCCTGCCCTTTTAAGGTGCATCACTGGCAGATTCACAGTGGGTATAGACCAAATATAAACAAATTCCCACTCAAAAGCAACAGTTCCAACACATTCTCTGGTGGAGTGCAAGGCCCTTCCAGTTCACATAGAGGAATACCTTGACTAGCAGATGTAGTGGAAAGTGAATTACTATATAAGGCTATAGACTGTAGGGGGGATGGATGCAGAGTCAGAGATGGTTACTGCAACCCTTAGCAGAGCCTCTTTTAAGGCCCCTGATGATCAGAGATTCACTGCAGGGCAAAGAATAGAATCCTGATTGGAGCTTCTGTATTCAGTATAAGTGAAGAAATTGAGTACATTTACTGCACTCACACAAGATTTTGTGGCCAGAGGCCCCTGCTGACAGGGTAGGGGAGCTGAGGGAGATGCAGATGAAGTAGACCCCTACAACTATAGGGCCACTGGATTCCAGAGTAGAGTAGATGTTGGTGTCCTCTAAGGGTACATAGTGAATGTCCCCAGAAAGTGAGTTGGAAGCCACCTGCAGCCATGCGACGTTCTCTGTGTCTAGATACAGACAAACACATGGTGGTGATGTGACTAGGCTCAAGGCAAGGCCTTGAGTACTCATAAACCCAGACAGCTTTTGACTGATCAGGGCCACATTAAGTGGGCAGTAGAAACAACCCAGAGGAAATTTTCTTGTTGCTTTTGTAAAACAGGAGCAGTAGTAGGATGATTATTCCTCAACACTATGGCAGGAAAGAGAGCATGGAGCACACGCCCAATGGTTGACATTAGTGTTCAATCACTCAACGGTAGCCTTTTCTAAAGTAAAGTCAGCTGTAGGAAATTCAGAACATGCCCAGCAATACAAATTACAAGGTAACTCCCAGTGTTTAGCCCAGTTGACCTATGCAAGTGAGTCTTCATAGACAGGACAAGCTCTGTGGCAATACCACAGCTCTGGATGTAGGAAAAAGCTCTGTGGCAATACCACAGCTGTGGACCTAGGAAAAGCTCTGTGCAAACTTTTACCAGTACTTGATGTCTGGAAAGCACTGCAAATAGAACCCAGTGGCAGTGTAGTGAAAATTCTTGTTTGTCAATGGAAGAAGGAAGAACCCCAAAAATAAAACCCATCCTCTAAAGACACTACCAAAAAACTGAGGCATGCTGGGTAGAAAAGTGGTTATCCATGGCTGGCTTACATTTTGCCAGTGTCCAATACTCCTGTAGGTGATAATATGACTCCTTTTTGTCTCTCAATGGATGAAAAAGAAATGCTGTTGCTGTCTTCTGATTTGCAGATGTTTTCCAGGTCTGTTTTGTATTGTATTAATGATCTCATCATGTCAGCTAGGCAACTAGCATTTTCAGAAAAGGGAAGCATTAGCAGTTTCTCAGTACGTTTTCTATAAATCAGATTACGGTGTGCTGCTTTTGATATGGATGGAATTGGGAGCAAACCACAGTGGTTGTAGTGCATAGAGCCAGTATTCCCAGCTCAGATGTTTTGAATTGGATTGATGTGATGACCAGAAGATAAGACTGGCTAATGGGGTGGGGGTCGAGTATAAAAATTCCTCTTATGAAAAACAGAATTTTTCTTACGGGTAGTCTCCTTCATGATTGGGGGGGGGTTCCAATTTTGCGGTTATAACAGGAGTGCACCCTTTTTTATCTTTTCTTTTAGCTTCATCGCCATCATCTTGGATTACCCTGGCCACTTAAGGACACGTACCTGAGTTCAAAACCAGTTTTCATCCGAATTAATTTATGTAAATATGAAGAGGCTTCCCATTGTTTAACACGATTTGCCAAAATAGATGCTCTGCAGTATGACAGCTTAAAAGAGGTTTTATTGGACTGAAAAGTAAATATTGATGAGCGATCAGACTGGAGCAGACTCACTTTAGTATTATAAGCATGTAAGTTTTGAACACATATTGTGTGCTGAAAACCTGATGATCACTTATCAACAGTGTTATTGATTTAGAATAATGAAACAACTTTTTATATATATATATATATTTGTTAGCTAAGGCCTGCATCACCCTGGAAATCTAGATAATTTGACAATTGACCAGCACCTGCATTTTTATTTATTTTTAAGCTATATGTTTATGGGGAAGGGCTTTCTCTGAGTAAGTAATCTATTAAAGCTTACCAGTCCTTAGTGGCTGCATTTATTTTTCTTGTGTTTTTCTCCTGGTGATCCTGCCAGAAACACTTCCTGTCTGCGGGTGACACCGCTTACTAAACTGTATCTATAAAGAAGCTGTGTGTTGTTATTCTAGGTTACTCTCATGATTTTAGACTACAAACACTGCCCCTAATCTCCATAACATGGGGCAAGGGGGTTGTTCAGAGAAGAAAACTGGAAAGGCTGGTAGCATTGAGATTTCAATTCGGCACACAGGAAGTTACAAGCACTGGATTTTCAATACAATTGAGTTTTCTGTACGTGTGGAAATGTACAAGACCTGAAAAATAAAACTAATGCAGCCACCACATCTAAGAACTGGTAAAATTCTTGGATTTAGATATACTTCAAGATGTTAGTGTATTTTGGAAAAAACACAAACAGGGTAGTGACTCTTCCCCAGTCTACCCAACACTAGAAAACCTGTTTTGGCTGGCCTTGTACCTTAAGGCCAACATCCTGTAAAATGAATCCTTGTCCTGTTATATTCATTTTTTTAGTAGGCTAAAATAGCATTTTTGTATAGACCACAACATCTTTTTCTTGGAGTCCATTGAGAGACACAGGAATTCAGATGCTTTTAATTTTTACTGCCGCCTACTGGACTGGATGTTAAAAACAAATTGTAGGCCAGCCCAGGATAAGCCCTCTTCTACCCAGCATGCCCTAGTTTTGTAGCAAAAAGTACCAACCAAGAACATGAACACAGATGCGTATTTATTTTTTTTCCCCTCATCCATTTAGGTGACTCAGGAATTCAGATACAGTTGGGATATCCAAAAGTAGTCCAACTGAGGGGTTGTGACACAGCAGTGACTACCGCCCGATCCAAAGCTTACAGAACTGAGGACTTTCGTGCATTGTTCCTTTCAGCGGCAGTTGGACTGCAGAATCTGAAACCAGATGAGACCAAGTTCCTGACCAGATAGGGGGAACATGCCAACACAGCCAGGGAAGGACATGGAGAATTGACCTGATGCTCAAGACCAAGATAAAAAAGGTCACCACCAGTGAGGAATGACTCTACTTAGGGTATGCATAAACCTGGGCCAAGTGAGATGATCAACCAGATTGCACCAATAGGTGGAACAACATCAAATTCATCTATTGGAAAGAAAAAAAAAAAAAACACACCTTAATGTGGTCAACAAAAATTGGGGTCAACCCTATTATAAGCAGTAGATTATGAAAATGACAAAAACAGTTCCTGGGGTGAAAAAAAAAAAAAAAAAAAAAAAAAATCTGGTTCAAGTGGGAAGGTCCTAAGCCTTTACACCCAGACCAATACCCTCACTGAGCAAGACCTAAACAGTAAAAACCCTGACTCTTAGAGCACAGCAGCCTACAAGGGGTGTGTGAAGGGACTCTTAAATCCACCAAAAAACTCAGGAATTTGATTTCATGAAGTCAACATGGCTGAAGGAGTAGGATGCAGGGGAAGCAGACCCACAAGGGTAGGCGTCAGATGAAAGTTAGACTGTAGTGACAGACTGTTTAAATAGGGTTGGAACAATAATACATCCTCTTTGGTATGCAAGAGGTGCATCTGGAGCAACTCCAGAGGATCCTGCTGAAATAGACTTGTCTATAATCTGTCCTCAAGCCATAGGTCTAGGTTTGCTCCTAATCCCCTCATCCAGTGAAGCTCCAGCAGGTAACAGAAATCTTTACCCAACGGCGATGGAGGTTTGTCTGGGGACAAAACAAAGGAGAGCATGTATCTCAAGAGGCTGCGTGTCAACCAAGGAAATGGGGACCTAATACCAGGTAGACTGATCCCCCAAAGACATTTAAAGTAGAACTATAGGCAAAACTTTTTTCCATTTTGGATAGCGCAGGTAAGTGTTATAACCCCTGTCTGATTTTTGTCACCATCTGTGTCCCATTGCAGAGACTTTCCTTCACTTTCTTTACCATAGCCAAACAGGAAGTGAGAGGAAGTCCCTAAAAATTAATGGAATTCTTTAGGGACCCCCAGGTCACCAGAACCCATTGGAAGATTTATCCTCTATTACTTTTCTGGGGCTATCCCAAAATTTGGGATTTTCTTTTCCTTTCACTTTAAATGACAATGGTAAATAGAAGAATTAGAGAGGGTTGAATCTCCCCAATGGGGACACAGAGAGCAATAAAAACTGACAGGTGTTCTAAACCATCTCCACTCTATACAAAACTAAGAAAGTTTTGCCTTTAAGTTATATTTTAAGGCATTCCCTTCTCCTGGTAAAGGATACCCAAAGCGGGAGCCTAGTGTATTCTGCCTGCTAGCAAGCCAGAGAGACGTGGGACCTTCTTTTGGACCTTCACCTGCCTTGCAAAGTCTGAGAAATACCCAGATGTGTGAACCTATCCTGCATATTCAGTGGGTACCAGTTGAGAGGAAGCAATGTCCAGAGGATTGCCTTTAAAGTAGAGCTCCACCCAGAAGGCGAAGTTCCACTTGTTTGCACCCTCCACTGCCACATTGGGACCTTTTTTTTTGGGGGGGTGTGGGTGGGTACTTGGTTTTGATGGGTGCCTACTCCCACTTCTGACTCAGTTTGCTGCAGTGAACTGATGCTGGAAGTTCGACCTCCCCCTCCTGCTCCCTATAGTCTTCTGGAACACTTCACAGGTTCCAGAAGACTACAGGACCATTCAGAAGGTGCAGTGTGACCCGTGCATGTGCAGGAAGTAGCTGGCTTTGAAGCCCAAGGCTTAATTTCTGGCTTCCCTTACTTACTATGCTGGTGACGGGATCTCGGAGGCTAGTGAAGAACTAGCCCAGGTGAAGACAGCACTGGACAGGTAAGTGTCCTTCTATTAAAAGTTAGTAGCTACAGTATTTGTATATACATCATTCTATCAATGTGCAGGAAAGGCTCCCACGCCTTCTGTTCGAAAGACACAGCAGTACCTAGGTGCTGTCCAACTGGGTCTGAACCTGGATGGCTTCCGAAGCCACCTGTTCCAGAAAAACAAAGCCTGGAGATAATGATTCTCCATTGAGAGAACCTTGGCTATAGGGGGAAGAATCCTTAACAGCCACCTGATGGAGAAGCTGATTGATCACACCAGGAAGACTTGCAACAGCAGAGAAGAGGGCGGAAGTAAACCAAGAAGAAAGGGAAGAAAGAAGACTTCTTTGAGAGGACTATCTCCAAATGCCTAACTCTCCTGCAAGGCAGGTAGGGGTAACTCCAAGTCTGATGAAAAGTGGTCTGGAAATATGGTGTGGACCTTTTGCATTGAGGAATTAAGTTGGTTACTCTAGCTTACAGGCGATCACGTCCAATGGTGAAACTTGACAAAGCCAGATACACCAGACCTTGCAAGTGTTTAAGCCCTTCAAGATCCCAGGAAAAAGCACTAGTTCAAACGGTCAGTGCTCAGATAAGGATTAGGTGTGCAAGGGCAACAGGGCATTTAGAGTCCTATTAGGCTGCAGGACAGTCAAGGCTGGTCCCAGCTGACCTAGGATGGCAGAGGGCCCCCCTGGAGAAGTGTGGCACTGAGGGGGTACCAGGTTCCATGGAGGGTTTTACCTGCCCTAAGGGAAGAGAATTTAACTGAGGAAGAGAATGATGGCCAATATAAGGTATAGCTTCAGAGGTTGAACAGACAGGAATTTGAGCAAGGGTCTTTGGGTGAGAGAAACCTAAATGGACTAGAAAAAGGAACCTAATGGGACTAGAAAAAGTACATTAATCTGTGCAGTAGCACAAGGAAGAACAGAGGGAGCAGATAAGAGTGTGCGAGAGGCAAGGCATTAGCCTGTGAGCCTAAAGGGGTGCTGTCTGCACCTGAATGGCAAAACTACTCAAAGAACCACAAGGTCTATCAGCAGCATATTTTTCAGAGGGCTTAACAGGTACTGGTTTTTTAGCCTTATGAACTGGCTGCAGGTTAGGCTCATGGGCTGGGAGTGTATACTGCAGAAATAGGTGGGACTTGGCCAACCTTTGGACAGTCTATGCTGAGGCAGGCGAATGCTCCTACAATTTTTTTTTTTAATTTTTTTTTTTTAGCCAGTGTCCAGTCATAATAGGGGTGGCAGTATAACCTGACAATATCTGAATTCCTCTGTCCCTCAATGGACAAGAAAAAAATGTGGGACTGTAAGCTTATTTAAAGTGATTTTTCTGTTGAATGACAGGATGATCAAGCCTCCTTCCTACAGTCTAACTGCCTAGTGCTGTCATGGTAACGTACAACTGGAGGCATTTTATTTGCTAAAATTCTATTTTCAGAGCTTACATCTTACAGTAGAAATGGTTTGATGGCAGGATAGCCAACTTGCTCATTATTTATTGATATACTATGTAAGAATCAGTCTTTGGCTAATTAAACACTGGCAAAGCACTGAACAAATCAAATTACCCTGGATTCTGTTTGTCATTAAAGTGATAATCTCTTAGGTCATGCTTTCTCTATAACTGCTTCCATTTTATAGGAATTCCTACCAAAACTGAAATCCATTTACTGAATGACATGATATTGCAGCATAGGATGAGATCTGTGCCTAGGGTTCATGCTGCTCTTCATTGGTGATTCATGCAGAGCATTAGACCTGACCCACTCCATAACAGTACAGAATACTCTGCTCCTGGGCTCCTCTTTACCCTGCTCATTTAACCACTTGCCATCCTTAGGATTTACTCCTCTTAATGACCAGGCCTCTTTTTGCT